ACTGGTACAGATAGTCATGGTCTTCAAGAAATTGATTTTTAAGCCTCCTGTCCTATTGTTTTAATGTATCTCATATTTTTATTTACTTATTTGCCATATTCTAGAGAGAACTTTTGCTCATAAATGCTGGGTTGTATTTTTAAGACTAAACTTAACCTTCCTACCTACATATTTCTGGGAGACTTACATAAGATTTGTTTGTGGCCTTTAGCATATCTGTAAGCTAAAAGATTGAAGGGACTTTTTCTCCTAGATGCTGAAAGATTACAACTCTTTCATGTATCAAAATAACTATCTCACAATGAACTTATATTAAACTGAGTTTCAAAAAATAGATGGAGTTGCTAAGTTACAGTGAAATAATACAATATGGTAAGATTTAAGTTTTAAAAAATAGAAAGGAAGATGATTCAAATCAAGACTTTTAGGGGTCTGTTCTGTTCCTTTATTTATTTTCTATTTTCATTCAATCATTTAGAGATATTTAGTTATCATCTATCAGGTCCCAGACACAGTTCTACACACTGGAAATAGAACAGTACACAAAACAGACAAAAATGTTTGCCCTCATGGGTCTTCCATTCTAATGGAGAGAGAGAAACCCCTGCACTAAAATTAAGTCCATTTTAATAAAGAAGAGAGTGTATAAGTACTTGAGACAACAAATATTACAATGTCACAAAACTGTGATATAAGAAATCACAAGTTTAAATATCTACTTGGCATTATATAATTATAGTACCTTATTTATGAGATAAATGGTAAGAAATAGAATTGTATGAAACATGAAAATTAAACTGATAAATTATCTGCAGATTCTTAGTAAGTATAAGGTGAGGAATTAGAGAAAGTGGTGTGGTGTGAAAGGCATCCTTGCATGGCGTGGGGGAGGGAACTGGGACAACTGTAAGTGAACAATAAAAAATAAGAAAGCCATCCTCATAACACAGCAAGAACATGCTTTGACAGGCTGTTCAGTGAACAACACGGTGATATCACGCTATGGTTTAGCAGTGCTCCTGATTCCTGAAGAAAGGATGCACAGCAGAGTTGGGAAATATTCATAATTTCTCCAGTGCAATAAAAGAAAACAAATGACTGACTTGAACAAGAAGGTTTAAGGTGTGAGAAGACAGAACACAGTACAGAGACAGTGTCTGTCTTAAACCTTAGTCGAGATAACACTTGAAAAATAACAAAATAGTAAACCAGCCTAAATGTCCAATTAAAATTCTAAGATTGGTGATGTAATGGTAAGCTGATTCTTAATATTTTTATTACTCTATGAATAATTTAAATGTGAAGCTATTGAGTTAATTTGTCCTTAAATGAAGGGATATTTTTTAAGACCAGCAGTTGTAGAAAGAGCTGCACATCGAGAAATTAAAGCTACTATAAAATCTGTATCTCTAAGCTCTCCTGGGCCTCATATATTGAAAACACCCATTAGTCATCTCCCAGGAATCTTTGGGCACCTCTGACTTACATGTCCTAAACTGAACTCTGCTCCCGAGTCCTCATCTCAAGTAACAGTTCCAGCGTCCACTCAGACTGGCAAGGTACAAACCTAGGAATCAATTAAAATCAATCAATCTCTCTCTCTCTCTCTCTCTTGCTCTCGCTCTCCCTCTCTCTCTTATACACACACACTCACACACACACACACACACACACACACACTCCTACTGAAAACCAAACCACATGTTTTGGTGGTCTTTCCTCTCCATCACCAGGTCCTTATCAGCTTCCCTCTGAATCAGGATAATAGCCGCCTGGCTGATCTTCTACACTCTTGTCTCCCATTGCCCACTCCAGTGGGAGTCTAGATCATCTTCTGAAGCACAAACTTGATTATGGACACCTTCACTCTAATACTAAGTTTGGCTTCCTTATGCCTCCACACTCCTATAAGTAAAACATTTCTTTTCTCACACACATTCATGTATAAATTATATAGATTTAAAATGAGTGCATTAATATATTGTATATATAAAAGTATATGATAAAAACTGAAATTTTAAAAGGTGAGATATAAATGAAATTCACATTTTTATATTCTAATTTTTTAATTATTTTATTTATTTAGTTTTAGAGAGGAAAGGAGGGAGAAAGAGAGAGAGAGAACAAACATCAATGTGCAGTTGCTGGGGGCTGTGGCCTGCAACCCAGGCATGTGCCCTGGCTGGGAATCAAACCTGCGATGCTTTGGTTCGCAGCCCGTGCTCAATCCACTGAACTATGCCAGCCAGGGCTATATTCTAATTTTTAATGGTTGACAAAATATTTTGCTACCACTACAATTATTTAGTGAGAATGATATTGAATATGCTTCATAATTTCTGAAAGCTTTTATTACCTTCCGATATAGCAATTTAAAATCTGATTCTAAGTGCAGTTTATTTTGATGTTTTGGTTGATAGCAGTAGAGCTGCAAAATACATCTCACAGAGAACCACATGTACACAGAGGAAGTCCATCATTGAATGAGTTTATGAAATTATCATACTTATTTTTCAAAATCATTTGTGAATTTTACATGGGCTTATGTGAAAATTCATAATATTTGTATTACTCATGTTAACTCGAACATTTAAAGTCATTTATCCACTTTGTGAGACTTAGTCAAGTTAGATAATGTATATAAGTCCATTTAACCAGTTACCCATAAATTGTTAGCAATTTATGGCTACAGTTTGCTTTAAGAATGAGTAAGGGGGTTAGGGACAGCTCCTCAGTGCAGTGGCTCTCAACCCTTCCCTCAGAATTCCATGTGCCTGGTAAGTCCCTCTGTCTGTCTGACATACAGACCAAGAAAGGGCACCAATGACAGTCCATATGTTATTGGTGAAGCCTAAGTACTTTTTCATATTTTCAGATAGAACTCCAAGTCTTCACACATTTTCCCTCCACACTCCAGTGTATCATCTCATACAATGTGTTGAACTCGAAAGTGTTCTCACCCCATTTTGGAGACCACTGTCCGAAGTATTACATCCAAACGTCCTAGCTGGACACACCCAGCCTATCTTAGTCCACCCTCAGTGACCTCTCCATTCCACACCCCCAGGCCTTCAACCACATTGAACTTCTCATCATTCTTGAATCTCTAATGGCATCTTTGCTTTCAAATTCCCTTTCTGCAATACTGTGCCTGCACATTCTGCCTCACCCAACACCATCCACATCTGGTACATTCTTCATCCTTCAAGACCCAACACAAACGAGAGCTCTTATGTCCTTCTCGACTGTGCAGTGTTCTCTTCGCATTTTGCTCACATCTGTTAACACCTCTCAAGCCACACTGCACACATTTGTCTTCCCTTGTTCTGTAAGACCCTGGAGACCAAAGAGCCTTTGGGTAACTGCAGCACCTAACAAAGTGCCCATTTGAAAGCATCACAAAACCATTTGTTGAATAAATTTCCTCTTAGGAAAGCTGATGCAATTGTAAATTTTGAAAAGTCAAAGAATAGCAAGTGTCTTGTGAAGAATCAAAGACCACTAGAAGATTCTGAAGAGAGACAAGGAATCAATTACCTAGTATTCTCATACTGGTTGACCAATGACCAACTCATGGACAGGATATAGGGGAACTGCAAAGAAAAGACAATTGGCAAGTAATGTTTAATAAATCAAGAATAGCTCTCAATTAAAAAATTGGCAGCATTGTCTTCCAGGAGATCCCAAGGTGAGATCCCATTGGTCCCCAGAAAGCTCTTTGGGCTTTGGTCTCCATGACGTTGCAGTAGAAAACCTTAACAGATTTCGTCTCTTGGCCTCAGAGACTGACTAGGTAAGTTTGGAAATAGCTTCACTCTTAAAAAAATAATTACTAATCAACAGTACATTTAATTAAATCTGCTGCCTTCAAAATGTACTGTGATAAAAAAAATACTGAATACAGAAATAGTAGATTCTTCTAAAACTATACCTGTTTGAAGCAGTATCTATAGTATGTCTAGTATGTATAGTTAAATAGTATGTCTAATTTATTTCATGTGATTTTTTCATTGTGGTATAAAATCACAGACTTATTTATCACACAGTGGCTTACCTTAAATGAGCCGAGGTAACATTCTGCTCCTTTTGCTGTGCATGAAGTATAGCCTATGATATATCCACCAGTATATATTATACAATAAGCATATCCTCACTCTGCTATTCTGTTTCCTTATGGAGGCAGTTTTTGCTAATGGACATAGCTAGAAATTACGACTTGGTTGATTCATTTAAGGTCTCTTCTTAACTTGATAAAAACACGATGCTTTTTAGATAAATCATAAATATTTACTTGGAAGAGCTCAAACAATGCTTTGAAGGTGGTATTGTTTTTTTATTTCAACATTCACTCCATGCCAAGACACTTGAGTTATCACAAGGCCATGATTCCTGTGAAGTAGTCATCTTATGCCACCTTTGATACTCATCTTGATAAATCCTGTTATATCTTGGAAATGAACATTTTCATCTCAGTCCTACATGGTATTACAATACATTCAAAGTGGTTTACTGCAGCGTATCTCTTGAGGTTATGATTTATACTTAAGTATAAATCACAGCTTAGCAAGGACTAAGCTAAAAATAAACCAGATAAAATGAAAAATATTTGAGCAGTTTAAAATATTGATAAACTGTGCCTCTTTTTTAATACCTCACATTAGATATTTGTGGAAATGTATGATTGAAGCTCTCAGAATATTAGCTTTAGGCAGATGCTGGTGTTAAGTAAAAATATTTATTTGGGAGTAGTTTTATAAGAGGTCATTGTTTTTAAAAGGAAGTCACTGATGGATGTGGGCAGAGACAACATAAAATTATCAAGATCAAAAGCACTAATCAGTGTCCAGCAACACATTATAATATCCTATATCTATGTAGCATTTTAGAGCTAGCAGCATTCACCAGTGCTTTATCTCTTTTAAACACATGAAGTTGTGAGAAATGTTAGAAGCAAATTCAGCTGACAGAATCTCTACCATTTAAAGAAGAAGCCAAAAAACTTGGTGAAAAACATGATTTTATTTTTTCAGATGGATATGAGTACTTTCTTCCCCTCGTTTATGGACTGGTTTTTACTCATTACACTACATTTCAACATCCCCTTGAAAACAAGAAAATTCTTTGTCAAAAGCGTAATTCAGACAATGATAGGGGGAAACACGGGATTTGATCTCATTGAAATATTTCATTCTTCATAGACACATATTCACTCTTCAAGCAGAGAATGGCCACCAATGTCAGCAAAATTAGCAAATTTTCTTGTGTTGATGAAACCTTACTTATTAGTGGTTGGTGTGTCCTCAGGGTATAATCAAGATGGAAGATACTGCCCGGCTCCTGTGTCAGAGAAGAGTTTAGATATCAATGCCTGAAGTCAGTTGACCTTGGCTAAATCATAAGGTGACCCCGACAAGCAGAGAGACAGAATTTTTCATTTTTAAGTGTCTTGCTACATAATATTGTATAATAGCAACAAGGACAATGCTTCTCCTAAGACACCACACACAACTGAGTACCTTCCTCCAACTGGTATTCTATGCTCACCTCCTCCTACACTTAGACTGTTTTCAATTTCATTTTATCCCTCATTTCCACCCCCCAGGTCAAATGGATCCCTGTGGTAGACGTTACCTATCCTCCCCAAGATTTATACTTTCTCATTCCTTCTGAGTACATACCCCTGAAAGTTAGGTGATGACCATGTGACTTCCTTCAACCAGTAAAATGTGAGGAGTGATCTGTGTCATATCTGGATGAAAGAATTTACAGTTTCAAGTGCAGTTTTCCATACCAGCCCATTGCCATGGTGCTCAAGGAGAGGTCACAGGACTGAAGCAGGCTGAAACGGTGAGCCACCAGAAGAGCTGCCCAGAAGACTTTGCAGGAGCAGGAAATTAACTTTTGTTGTATTAAGTCACTGAGGTTTTGTTTGTTTTTTTATCCTCACCTGAGGACATTCTCTCATTGCCTTTTTTAAAGAGAGAAGAAGGGAGAGAGAAAAACATCAATGCAAGAGAGAAGCATCAATTGCTTGCCTCCCATATGTGCCTGGGGACACAGGATCATACACTCCCAGATCAGGGACCAAACCAACAACCTAGGTATGTGCCCAGACTGGGAATTGAATCTGAAGCCCTTTGGTTTACAGGACAATGTTCCAACCTTCTCAGCCATACCAGCCAGGGCAGCCACTGAGATTTTGATGGTATTTGTTATAGCAGCATAATCTAGCCTACCCTCACTGGTAGAGCTTCACTAGCTTAATTCACCCTGATCATTTTTGCAGCAGCCCACGGTTGCATATGTGGATGATATACCAGTAAGTTGTTTTTATACACGAGTGGGCTCCTGTCACTGTTGAAGGCACAGTCTCACTGATATATCTGGTAGCAGCAGGAAGGTAGCAGGGATACTCATGTGTGTCCCACATCCTTTCCACATCCCTGAAATAGCACTGAAGGTGGACCAGTGCAGATAACCATCTTGATTTATTACCAAGGAAATATCAGTTTTATGGGAGGAGGGTAGAGCTTAGTTTAGAGCACACCAAAGCTTCTAGACTAGTGGGAAATTCACTGGAAATGCCTAGTAAATAATTGGTAGTGCAGAAATGGGGCTTGGAAACAGGTTAAGAATATAGGTAGATTCAGAAGTAATCACACACTTGAAAATTAAACATAAGACATACATTTCCAAGGAAAATGGCAGAAAGTGAGAAAAATAAAAAGGCAAGAAATGATTCTTAAACATTCGTACTTGGGGAGAGGGGTGCAAAGAGAAGAGTCAAAGAAGGGAGATATGAGAACTAGGGTGACAATACCCATTCATTTTGAGAGCTAAGAATATCATATCTTCATTAATAAATTCATTGTAATTTAAATTTCAAGGTTTTTAATGAGGATAAAGAATGTACTACTCCTTAACCATTCATTTACTCTCTCAGATATCAAAATAGATTACCCATCTGACAGCCAGCTGGACATTATCTATAATAAAAAGCAAAATTATTTTTTAATTTAATGTCCCAGAACTAATTTATCAGTATTTAAAGTTTTGCAGATGAAACAGGAGAACTTTTTAACAAATATTTCAAAGTTCTTTAATAAACACATTTTGGGGTTTATTTTCTTTGCAGTTTGTTTTGTGGGATCTCCCTAGTTGAACCTGAAAACTACTGCTAGTTGTTTTACAGATGCAGTGCTATAAACTGACAGAAGAACTTAATGACAAAAAGAACAGAGAAAAACTCTTTCAAAATGTTCAGATGAAATAGCTGTCACGTGGTGCTGAGAAAGAAAACCTGGGCACTTCTGCTTCAGGAATTTTCACATTTTGATCACAGATTGCTTTTCCAAGCCACTTGCCTCATGGTAAAAACTATCTATCTAGTTCACTGGAAACTGTGTTCTCACAAACACCTTTTGGTGCTTTAATCTTTTTTTACAAAATTGTTTCCACTGACAAGGGGATCAAGTTCTCCCAGTGCTAAGAGCAGTCAGAGCAGCCCCTGCCTCTCTATCACCATGACCAAGTGCAGGTCCCTCGTCTCCAAGCAAGCAAGGTTCCTGCTCCAAACAGAACTTTTAAACATACATGATTTTCTCGGCATTATAGTTGTTCCATTACTCAACAAACTTACTCCACGCATCTGGACCCTGCAAGGCACTGTGGGGGTGCAATTGTCATTCTCCGGTTCTCGGCCTTAGCCCCTGTGCTCCGCGCACACACTACTCCCCCTGCAGGTGTGTTGAGGTTTGTGCCAGCTTTCCTTCTGCAAGGACGACCTCAATAATCTCTAAACCCCACATGTGTGTGCGAAGCGCTACCCTAGGTACTTCAGATGAATTTTATCATTTAATTCTCAGGATTGAGGTGAGTATTAGTAACATCCCTATTTTACAACTTGGGAGGATTAAATGTTGAGAAACTTGCCTAAAGTCACAGAGCTATTAAGTAACGCAGTCAGGACTCAGACTACTTTGACCAACGCCAAACTGGGTGCCCTAAGTATTGCTACTCAAAGTGTGAACCTCCAACCAGTAGCAATGACGTCACCTGGGAGTATTATGCAGAATCTCATGTCCAGCCCCACATCCACTAAATCAGACTTTGGTTTTAACAAGGCCCCCAGGTGATCCCTCTGCACCTTCAAGTTTGGGAAGCACTGGACTAAGTCACCCGCTATGCAGATTTCACTTTAATGGACACTGGGGAAGTGAAGACAATCTTCTTCCTGAGTTGCACCTTGGAGAGTGCCGGGAGTTATTATGGACGATGTGTTCTCCAAGGGCAAAAGGAAGGATTCAGGCTACAGGTTCTTGTGGTTTCAAACACTGGAGATCGGCAGTTTGGGAGCACTTCCAAAAGCAGCGGATATTGAGCTGCGTCTTGACATTTTCTCAATTCATTTCATTTCATTCAAAATAGGGGCTGTTCCAAGTGGTTAGGTGCCCACATCAATAATCTCTAGTTAACTCATCCAGCCTCGATCCCGTTTTCCAAGCAGAACCAAATACCAAGAGCACCGAAAAGCAGATATAAAACCTCAATAAAACTTTTTTATTGCCACCTGGTTAATAATCGTATTGTTTAGTTTAGAATTGTCTAGTGTGATTAACAATGTTCTTGACAAAACTAGTTTGCGCTTCATTATCAGTTGTTCCCCAGGTCTGAGTATAAACAATTGGTGTCAAAAGCAGGTGCAAATCCCTTCGTGTGAAGTCCCCAGTTACAGGTACTTAATTCAGCGTGTAATGTCGCCTTCCAAGCCCCTTTTCCAAGCCAGGCCGGCTTCCTCCCTCTCGGGTGTGGCCCAAAAGCCCAGCGCGTTTCCCCAGCCAGCACTTTATATCACCCACTCACCCTAGGGTTCTAACCTGCGTGCTACCTTCCAACCGACCCGCCGGTGGGTAACCTTGGACCTACCTGGACCTCTCCTCGGCTGGGGTTTCCACCCCGCACCCCCGGAAAAGGGTGGTGGCACTGGCCGGGCTCTCCCGGGGTGGACAAGCAGAGCGGCAGCGGTGGCAGACGGTGAGTCACGTGTGGCGGTGGGGGTGGAGCGCGACCCGCCGGGTGGGTGGAGAAAACAAAGCCCCCAGCTGTCAGTAGAGGAAGGAGGCCACAGCGCCGGAGCAGGTGAGTCAAGTGTATTTAAAGCGGTACCGCCCTGCTCACCCCGACACCCCTGCCCTGGTGAGGTCCCTCCCAGGCCAGACACTGGCCTGACTTCCTTCTGCCGCCCGGGGACTGCAGTCCTCCGGTGGCTGAGCCAGTGGGACCGAGGGTCTCCGAGCCCATCAAGAAGTTGTGCAGGGGTCTGCGCCGCGGCCCGGGGGTGCTCCGCCGCGCTCCTGCGGGCCACCTCTCCTTGGGGCCCCAACGCTGCACACCCCGAGAAAGGGGAGGGAGTCCGGACTGCCACGCTGGCAGAAGCAAAGTGGACAGGCTCGGAGGTTGAGGGCCGAGGACAGGGACACTTGGCGTTGGTGAAGAAGCGGATCTTGCGGGTGTGCACCCCCAGCGCACCTACATAGAGACGCCAGAGTTGGGGCGCAGGGGCTGAGAGCTCGGGGCGCCGGCAGGGGCTGCGCGCTCCGGGCAGACCAGGAAGTGCAGCGCGCTGGTGCCCGCCAGCGGGGCAGCAGACCCTGGACCCCTATCCAGCTGCTGCCCGCGGCGCTTCCCCTTCGGCGGAGACCAGCCCCCACCACTCCCCACTCGCGCTCCGGCTCCCGCCCTCGCTCTGCCCCTGGCCCCCGGAACTCGTTGCTGGGTCGGTGGGAAAGAGTTACTACGAGCCTCAATGGTTCTTCTGCAGGGAGCAACCTGCGTGCAGGGCGAGGGCTACTCAGCGACTCCCCACTCTGCTTCCATGGGGAATTCCTCAGCCTACCCTTAGAAGGGCTGTGCCGAGACCAGAAACCCCACAAAGGGCCAGAGGAGGGGTTGGGCATAGAAAGACCGTCCCCTCTGAACCTGGAGCGCCCAGAAATGCAGACTTTCAAACCCTGAAAGAGCCGGTAGATTTGGTCACCCCTGAGTCACTCTGCCAGTCCCATGCCAAGGGCCTGCCATCGTAGAGGGCAAAGCTGTAACCTCGGAGGAAGGGGCGCTGAAGCCATTTGAGCAGGAGGAGCCTTTGTCTTAACCCCCAGTCCCCTTCTGCTAGTCCTTGCAGGGTCACTAGCGCTTGGAGTAATTAATATTCCTAACATTAGCCATCTCTCCATCTCGGCACCAGCCGACACTACTGCCTCCTCCCTGCGTGTTTTCTCCATCGCTGGCTCGCGTTCTCTTCTCCCCCTCCCCTTTTTGGGACGTGGTCCAGACCCGCCAGGCCGGAGGAGGTCACTAAAACGTACTACAGTGCAGTCACGTAAAATCAAGGGTTAAGCGTTCAAACCTGCACCCGCCTGCCCGCCCACGGGGAGACGATAGAACTTTCTTGATTAGCATAGTATCTGCCCTGGGGCCGCGCTGCGAGGCGGTGGTTCCGTCCCAGCCGAAGTGAAGCGTGCAGTCCCGTCTTGATTGAGGTTCAGACGCAGCACCTGCTCCTAACTTGAGAGGACCCAAGGTTTACAACTTGGCCGAACAAGACGTTGTGGGATGAAACAGAACAGAGATCAAAAGGTAATCAGAAGAATGGCACCTTTGCATTGCTTCTCTTGGACGCTAAATCTAACTGTATTTTTAGCAAGCAAATGGGCACTGGTCGTTGTCTAGCCAGTGTCCCGCTGGAAACGCCCCCATTGCTTTCCTAACCTTCCATTCTGTCGAATAATGAGGATGTCGGGGGCTATGTGTCAGTAGGTCTCCAAGAGGGAAGATTTGGGAGCCCACCAAGTGGTCATTACGTATGCTAAACCGGTAGGTTTCTCTTCCGTGGAAAGAACACGGCTTCTCCAAAGCAAAGGTTCCCAAACTTTGCTGCCAATAGAATCACCTGGGAGTTTTGACAAATTCTGATGTCCATCTGTCCTCCAAATCCAGTTAAATCAGACAGTTTGCAAATGAGAGCCAGCCGTCAGTACTTTATTTTAATATCTGGGGGACACCATTGTGCAGCAGAGTTTGAGAGTCACTGATGCAAAGGAAGAATTCAGTGGCCAGCTTTTACAGGCGTTGCAAGACAAGATGCCAGTTTAACTACTTGGTTGGGTGGGGGTAAAGACGCTGAAACTGGGTGCTGCTGAAGAATGCCCTAGGGTGGGGACTGTCATCTGTCAGCTTTGCTAGCAGTGGCCACCTGCGACATCGTTTCTCACCCTCTCTGCCTTGGATCTGGTTTTAGTAGAAAGATCGAAGTTCACTGTCAGTGCCTGGTTGCTGCATGGTTGTTAAGGAGACGGGTAGAAACTTTCATTCCTGCGCCGCCTCACGTGTAGCAGGCAGTGGGGAAACCCAGCAGAAACTAACTAGGAGTAGTCTGGTGAGTCAGCAGTCGGCCGCACTCCAAGGCGGAGCCCGGGAATAGGAAGTAATTACATGGGGTAGCTTATTGACACGCACAAATGCCACTCCTTTGAAAACACATTTAAATGTGTGATCGGGATCTGTTGGCTTGCAGGAGCCTCTCCCTTTTCCAGCTCCCATTCTACCTGCTTCTCCTGTTGGAAGGGGAAATAGAAAGTCAAATGACTAGGCATCTTGTAATGTCTTGGGTGTTGAGGCATATTTTAAAAATTGTTGGAAAATAGTTAATTTCAATTGTGTGAAGTAGGATGAATTTGCAATCCATGCATTTTGAATACAAAACGCCAAATACTGTTTGATTACACATTCAAGGGTGGATTAAAGGGTCTATTTAAATAGAAATGGTTATTTTACATGAAATTTTATTTTGGCTATTAACCGAAGATTTCCTGCTCTAAAAAAACATATCCCCACAGGGTCAGCCTAAATAAAATGACCTGTTTAAGGATGTAAACAAAGTTTATTAAATGCTTATTTTTTCTCATCTTTCTTACTATTACTTTTAGTTTTTTACACATCTCCTTTCCTCATTATTTTTTATATCACCGTGACTCTCTCTAGCATTGCCTAAAGGCTTTCTTCCCCACTGTTTCCGAAGGAGGGACACCAGTGCCTGGCAAACTTTCAGGACTGTTAGCTATTGAACTTTGAACCTCTCCTTGCACTTATTTACCTTGCTTGGTGTTCTGTTGCCTCTTTGGGGCCTTTATGTCTGCAGCCCGGTAGCGCAGAGCCTTTTATGTTATCCATGCTGCTTGTTTGTTCTGAGTGTTATCAGAAGATGGGGCGAACACTTGTGAGCAAAGCATCCTAAGTTCATTCAGTTTTATTTTCCAAGACGGACATTCTAAATATATAGGAGCCAAAGTTCTGTTATAATTCCGCTCCCCCCATCCCCCCCCCCCCTGCAGAGTTCAGTTTTTTATTGAGTGTGTTACAAAGGAGGTTTAGTCAAAAAAGACCAAAGCCTATGTCATCATCAGATTCCTTAAATTCTTCTTTCTTGGCTTCCACTTTCTTCTCCTCAGCTGGGGCAGCAGTGGTGGAGGGGCAGGACCTCCTGCTGGTGTAGCAGTAGCTGTGTGGCCAGGTCTACCAGCCCCTACATTGCAGACGAGGCTTCAGATGTTGACATTGGCCAGAGCATTTGCAAACAAGCCTGGCTGGAAAGGCTCCACATTTACACCAGCTGCTTCCACAAGGGCATCGATCTTATCCTCTGGCACCTTCATCAGTCACCTTCATCCTCATGCAGAATAAGGACTGAGTAGATGCAGACTGAGGCCATGGTGTCGGGGAATGCTGGGCAAGTGCTGCCGCCGGGAGGGGTGCTAACCGCTGGATGAAGTGAAGGCCTCACCCCAACACGGCCTTACCACCTGCCCCCACAAGGACGAGGCACCTTTGCAGCAGCTGGGGAAAGCCTATTACAGTTTTTAAGGGCTATAAAATGGCAGCTCACTCATTCACTTACATTTTTATACACAAAAAAAACAGCATTTGAGCACAACCAACAATTGTTATAATACTTACATCACAAAAGTTCACTCTATACCCGTTATTGTGGAAAAAACACCTATCCAACTATGTGGTTGCCTAAAGGAATTCACTAGCTAGGAGAATTATTTCAGAGTAGGACAAATACTGAGTTAATAATTAAACAGCTTTTATTGTCATCTGCCTGCTGCCTTCATTAAGATAGCACCAGTGCATTTAAATAGCCAGCATATTTAAAAGTGGGAAGTTGGATGTATTTTCTTTTTTACATATACCACCAAAAATAAAAGTTAAGAAGAATTTCTCAAGGCCAAAATGATGTAAATGTACTCATTTTCACTTCTGTGCAGCTTAGAAAAAGGACTGGATGTGCACTTCTGAAATTCCAACCACTTTTTTTCAGAGATGTAAGATACTGAAAGGCTGAAATATAGACGAGAAAAATGGGACCTAACCCAGGTAGACCAGACACTCTTCCTCAGAGGATGGTGTATACCCAACTCTGGAATGTGTACAAGTAGGACACAGGGGTAAGGTGGGAAGAAAGGGCGTCACTCTCAACTTCAGAAGCTCTGAGGTCTTCAAGAACCAATGAGAACTGTCTTATTTAAGGTAGCCTCATCACCTTAAATTTATACAACCCTTCAGTCTTATTAATATATCAGGGCCTAAGCATAATTGAGTAAATAGTATTCCCACATGCCAAATAACACAAGAAAGTCCAAAAATTAAATGATCTTCCCAAGTGGCAATGCCAAGGTGATAAACCTGGGGTACTGATTCCTTTTCCAGTGTCAATTACATCATACTGTTTGTTTCTTGAATAGATTTTGATGTAATCTTGCCCAGAGGCTTTGGTGAGACAAGTTCATTTCTAATTATCTCCTCCCTCCTTCAAATAGGAGAAACTATTCACATTATGTCATGCTCTCCCTGATTTATTCTTAAATAACCTTTGGACTAGGCCAACCCCAAACATTTTGAGCAATGGGTAGCTTCTTCGAGATAATCAAAGTAAGTTTTAAAATTTTTGCCCACGTTATAAGTAGCAGAGCTCTCTTTAAGGCCCTTAAAGGTTAGTTC